TAAATGCCTCTTCAAGGCAAACAGTGACAAATCAGTCACAAAAAAAAAAAAAAACTTAATTTAGTGATTTTGAGACACTTAAAACTATTCAATAAGGTTTGTGCCGTTTCTTTTGATTAAAAATAGAAAAATCATTTACCGTCATCAATTTAAATTCATTATTTTTATTTTATACTTTAACATACTTTATTTAGATTCCGCCTGCGACACCATCCGCGTGGAGTTAAAGTAAGTAGCCTATGTGTTCTCCTAGACTATCCTCTACATCTGTGCCAAATGACATTGAGATCCGTTTACCAATTTACTCTACGAACTCTATCAAGAAGCCATCTGTCCATCCATTTATCCATCTAAGCTTTCGCATTTATAATATTAGTAAGATAAGAAATAAGATTGCAAAGAGTATAGTAGACATTAAAAGTAACTGGCTGGTTACATAGTTGACGTGGTGATTGCCATACTAGTTAATGCCTGGTTTATACTTATCCAGAACAGTTGGACAGTAGCACTCAAAATTTTGACTGGTATATAACTGGCATAATACTAACATCTAACTTTTTAATCATGATTTTTTCGATTTTTGAATAAAAACGTATTAATTATCGTAACGCTATATTAGAAGAATAGTAGTGTAAAATATCAGTTCCAGAAAACCAACCGTTTTCTAGAACTCATTTGTCACTATAATTTGACCTGGCATATTTGATTGAACTTGCATAATAAAAACAACGCCAAATAACTCCTTGCTAGGCGCAACTAACCAATTCTACTGGCCAAGTGACAACCAAGCATAATATACTGGGTTTTGTATGGCAGTGTCATCCCCCTAACTACAAATCATAACATGTGAAAGCCGTCAATTGCAATAATAAATGTTGAATACAAATTTAAGTTATAGATTGGCTAATGCTTGTTTCGTTACAATTGCGCTTATTACCTGTGACGTAATAATTTAGATAACACCGTGTGCGATGTGCAATATCTGTCCTCTGGTACTTTACTATACTAAACTTGCAAATACATGTCAAAATATCATAGTTGGCTTATTTGAACTTATAGGTTCACTTTTATGCGGAATCATTAATTGTATTTATAAAACAATTGTAGAACTTTGTAATCTCATTCAGCGATTAACAGATTGTATTAATGAAAAAACCAAAAACTCATGCCCAAAGCCACAATGCGCCGTACAATCTTGCGAGATAATGTGCAGCATCAGTTGTTTGTTATTAATAGTCGTGGCTATATTTATGATTATATTTCACACGCAATGGCTTGATTCTTTAATGGATAAATACGACGATTCAGTAAAAGGATTAAAAGATACAAAAACGATAAGTAGTGAGCCTAGTACATACACCACTTCAAGGTCATATACAACGCCGTCCACCCCTGTGGGGCCAGGCGTATTCAGATCAGGTCAATTGGAAGAATTTACTATTAATATTCTATCAGATCAAGAAAGTTATAGAGCGAGAGAACGCGAAGAATTGAGAGAAATACATAATGATGAGAAGATCGGATTATGGGCAGAATTAAATCCAAAACTACTTGATGACGTGTATTTTAAACATTTACAAGAAACTACAGCGTCGGCCAATCTTGATTCTCATACCAACAATTTACATGACGTCAAAGAACTTGTAAAAGAAAAACAAAGTATGACTAAAGTTTTATCATTGCTAGAGGAGATTTTAAAGAGTATGAATTCAAAGAAAAAGAACAGAAATACGAGACTATCTAAACTTTTCAATATAGACACTTATTTTGATACTGATGTGGACCAAGAAAAATAAAACAAATATACATACATTATGATAATATGACGGTTTTACATAACAATAAAACCGATATTATGTGCCGAGAAAACATACAGCATTGCTTATGAAGATGCGTTATATACTT